CATTTATACATATATTCCACACAGCATCTTAGTACTATACCTACTAATCCGTGTGTAAACCTTTCAGAAGAAGGCAAAAAAATTAAAATCTAAAAGAAAACACAGACTATATTTCCTAGTTTGCGCATTTCCTTCTGGTTTCACCATCACTGTTCAGTGCTCCGTGAACACTCCTGACCCTGGAAGCTCATGCCAACGGTGTTCCACTTTCCATGGTCTCCTCTATCCCAAGACTTCTGACCTGAGATCTTCCCTCCAAAGAAGCATTTCCTCCCCAGTCCATGTCTTCATCCACCCCCCTCCAGTTAACACCATTGCACTGGGAATCCAATGTACCTGGGAGGCCCAACCCAAATTTCTAGGCTCCCAAGGTTTCCCATGCTCACAACCTCCCAGGCCTGCTTCTCTGCCCTCTACCACAGCCAAATCCTCCTAGGGCCACCTGTGTTCACACCTCACCAGGACCCCTTTCTCTTATCAAGACCTCTACTTTCTCCCTTGACCACTTCCTCCCACCAAGACCACTGCTCACACAGTCCCCCGTTAGAAATTTCCCCTGGAAATCAAATCCCCAATACTGTCCACAGCGCCAAACGCACCACCACCCTCCTGGGTATGTCTCTAGCCCAAACGACAAACGAAAAAGAGTCAGAACCACTGGCTTCAGTTTAGATGCTTTAATAGCATGTTTGATTAGTCCCCCAGCTAGAACAACATTGTGACTGGTTGAGGTTGAAGGGGTGGTAGATCTTCCAACCTTCGAGACCTAGGCACCATCAGTCCTCACTGAGTTCTGACATCTCTTCACCCAGAGATCTGGGGTTTCCAAAGAGTTCGTGGAGCTGCTGGTTGTTCTCTACCACTTGATACACGTGTTCTGGGGAGATGCGCTTCCTGCCGTTGGCGTGGGCCTCCTCACCAGCCAGATCAAGGATGTTCGAAGCAATGTACTCGAGCACACCGGCTAGAAATACTGGGGCGGAAGAGCTCAGGCGGCGGGAATAGTTGCCCTCTCGCAGGTAGTGGTCTACCCGGCTAACAGGAAATTGGAGCTCTGCTCTGGTGGAGCGGGAGATGTTGCGTCTGCTGGAGGTGTTGCGTCTTCTGGAGGTGTTGCTTCTGCAGGAGCCTCTGTGTCTTCTTCCAGCCATGACGCTTGCTTGAAGAGATCGGATGAACTCCACGGCTCTTCTGGCCTGGTTGTCTCAAAATAACCAAGCCTCTGAACTACACATGTATTTATCTCTTCAGGACAGGCCTTTGTTACAATGCAGACTTTATGATGTCACTGGTATCCACTGAGCTCTGATGGTCTGCACAGAAATGCCCATATTAGGAAACTGCTCACCTCTTCATGTGTGTGTTATACAGATACATGTGCACATGTTACATGTGTGTGGGTGCCTCTGTGTGTGTGTGTGTGTGTGTGTGTGTGTGTGTGTGTGTGTGTGGCCTGAATTTGTTATCTGGAATCATTCTTGATCACCTTTCTATCTTATTAACTGAGACAAGATCTCTCAATTCAAGTAAGAGCTCACCAATACAGAGACTCTTACTAGCCACCTTGCTTGAGAGATCTTTCACAGCTGGAATTACATGCAAGCCACGAAACCCACCTGATTACATCCTCTTTTTATGGGAACCCTTTCCATTGATTTTTATATTCTGACATGACCTATGTGTCAATGGAAAACTCCTACCCAGAGGATGAAACTCCAGGTTATGTATCAGACTCTAGCTTTCTCTCAATTGATATAGTCACCTTAATGTTCCCAATCAGTATTCCTGTTTCTAGTTTTTACTCTTCTTTGAACTGTTCATCACATTTGCCATTTCATTTAACATCTGCCAAGTATTTACATATTAAGTATTTAACAGGTGTTCATATCTCCTTGAGGATTTTGATTTCACAATTTTATATCATCTTACCCCCTCACTCCCGTTTTGGAGCACATCCACAAATATACTTAACTGATGTACTTTATCTGAGACACTTTACAAGCCATTTCCTTCTAGTACTTTCTGTAAGGCTGAGTTTGTGGATACGTATTGTTTGAATCTGTTTTTGTACTGGAATATCTTGTTTTCTCCATCGATGGTGAAAGAGCTTTGCTGGGTATAGTAGTCAGGGCTTGCATTCATGGTCTCTTAGTGTCTGCTGCACATCTATCCAAGGCTTTCATGGTTTCCATTGAGAAGTCAGGTGTAATTCTGATAGGTTTCCCTTTATATGTTACTTGACCTTTTTCCTTTGCAGCTCTTAAAATTCTTTCTTTATTCTATATGTTTTGTGTTTTGATTATTATATGACGAGTGGATTTTTTTTCTTGATCCAGTCTATTTGGTGTTCTGTAAGCTTCTTGTACTTTCATAGGAATATCCTTCTTTAGGTTGGGAAATTTTTCTTGTATAACTTTGTTGAATATATTTTCTGGGCCTTTGAGCTGGAGTTCTCCTTCTTCTACCACTATTATTCTTGGATTTGGTCTTTTCACGGTGTCTCAGATTTCCTAGGTGTTTTGTGTTAAGAATTTGTTGGATTTGATGTTTTCTTTGATCATTGAGTCAATTTCCTGTACAGTATCTTCACCGTCTGATATTCTTTCTTCTATCTCTTGTGTTCTGTTGGTTATACTTGTCTCTGTAGTCCCTGTTCATTTACCCAGATTTTCCATATTCAGCCTTCTCTCAGTTTGTGTTTTCTTTATTACCTCCATTTCGGTCTTCAAATCTTGAACTATTGTTTCTTTTACTGTTTGTTTGCTTTTTCTTGGTTTTCTTGGGTATCTTTGAGGGATTTACTAATTTCTTCTAACTTTTTGCTTGTCTTCATTTCCATTTCTTTCAGGGAGTTTCTCACTTTCTGTTTAAACGTCTCCATCATTTTCATAAGGTTACGTTTAAAGTCGTTTTCTTCTACTTCTTCTGGGTTAACATGTTCAAGTCTTTCTATTGTGTGTTCGCTGGATTCTGGTGTTACCATGCTGCTTTCAGGATTTTGGTGGATTTCTTACATTGGCGCCTACCCACCTTTTCCTTCAAATTAGACCAGCAGAGTCTTGGCATCTTGGTCCAATCTTTGCTGTGGCTGACTGAATACTTGGGAGTTTTTTTTTTTTTGGTCTTCCCTCTCTTAAATCCACTCAGCACTGGATCAGGCTGTGTTTGAAGATTCCAAGGACCTCACAGGCAAAAGGCAGGCTTGGGGGTAGGGTGGGTTGGGGGAAAACCCAGCAGTAGGGACACTCTCAGCTGGCTGGGAATAAAAGCTAGGGAGTTGTGTAGGGGTCCCTATGTTTTGGTCCACTGGTAAGGTCCTTGACAATGGGGTATCTGGCTGTCCATGCTTGTGGGTGCTGACCCACATCTCAGATCCTGTTGGCACTGAAGCAGGCTGTGTTACAGGGTTGCAAGGACCTCACATGCAAAAAGGCAGGCTTCGGGACAGGATGGAATGGGATAAAGAAAACCCAGCGGCAGGAACACACCCTGATGGACGACCAGAAAAGCTTAGGGAATTGGGGGGCCTGGATTCTGTCCACCTGGGAAGGTCCCAGAGAATAGCACTTCTGGCTCAGCTTTGAAGGTTTTAGAAGCCCATATCAGACCCAGTGGCTCTCCCTGCTGCAAACAGGTCTCTTAGCCACTTTTCTGCCGTGTTTCCCCATGATGAAAATGGATTGAACATCTGAAATTATAAGCAAGCCCCAATTAAAAGATTTCTTTTCTAAGAGTTGTCATGGAAATGATGTCTTTTCACAGCAATAGACCTCTGACTAAGACAATCTTCATGTGATTTTTTTAAAATATAAGAGAAGAAATTGTCAGTTTTAAATAATATTGTGCTTTAGTCAAGAAAAAAAGTCATGTTTCATCATTTCTAGGTAAGGTTGAAGGATTAACAATTAATAATTGCAACAACTCTTATGAAAGCAAACACAAATTCTTCACAATTATTTACTGGGTTTATTGTAGTCACTTTAAGATTATATTATAGGAAGTATGTTGATGGACTATAAAAATAGTTTTCAAACGGATGTAAGAAATTGCATTTTCTTTGGTGAGTATATATCTATGAAACCCTCTACTTTAAGACAGTCATTCCCTAATGTGTATGATATATGCTTTAAATACTATATTGACTAACTGGATTATAGTCTACTTAAAGAAATAGCACATCATTTGTTTTAGTTGTGAACTAAACACAATATTAACCTTCTTAAAAGATCATTTAATTTAATACTTGCACATATACTCATAATAAAGACAAAAATGGACTCTTAAAAACTTTATTCATTTAATTTAATAATTAAAAGCCTTATTTTTCATAGCAGTGGCAATAGAATAATGTTGGAGGACATTGACTCGTCATGATTGATTATATTACTCATAGAAAGACATCAAAATGTCTGTTTACTCAGCCACCCTCTATATTAATGAAAACAGTTTTTACTTTTATTATTGAAAAACTATTTTAACATCCTATGTAGAAGTTAAGGTTGCCAGGCGGTGGTGACTCAAGCGAGTTTCCAGACAGCCAGGACTGCACAGAGAAACTCTATCTTAAAAATCCGAAAGAAAAGAAAAAAGAAAAGAAAGAAAGAAGTTAAGGTCATCACACAGTGGCCTGGTTTACTAAGCACACTCTGCACTGATGACCCTTCAGCCTAGGGCCAGGTAAATACTACCTGAGGCCTGTGATGAGAGCTGTCATTCAAATAAAGCCTTACGATATGAAGTTGACTTATGGAAAGCAAACGGCAGAATGTTGAGAGAAAAAAACATTGTGGAGATATTCAGAGAAACTGTTTTTAAAGCATCCAGAGGATTTAGCCTAAAACTTTGGACTTTATTCATAGAACCCTTTAAAACATGGCTTATGTCAGTCAGGGCCCAGCAGGCCCTGCTGCTATGCAAATGAGCGTTCTTGACCCGCTCCCTCCCCACTCTAAGCCCTGGCGCCAAAATGACGTCATCCTCAGGCGCCAATAGTCATTTCCCGGGTTGCCCTGGACTTTCCTCAGAGCTTCCAGAGGCTTCTCTGTTGAGCTCCACTGGGGACTTCCTGTCTTCTGAGGGACCCAGGGACTCCGCCTGTCCTCATCACCCTGCTCCTCTGATCAGGTACAGAAGTTGTTGAGATTGTTGTGGTGTTCAAGCGCCCACCATGGCTGAAGCATCCTCACAAATGGGACAGAACTATGACTGTGACTGTGAGGACGCTGTCAATAACTATATTCAGCTGCAGCTCTCTGCCTCCTCTGTGTACTTATCTATGGCCTTCTACTTCGACCGTGATGACGTGGGCCAAGAGAACTTGAAGCGTTTCTCCTTGAGCAAGTCACACGACCACAAGGCCAGTGCCGAGATGTTCATGATCCTGCAGAATCAGTGTGGAGGCTGCATCGACCTTCGTAACATCTCGGGACGAGACCGCGACAGTTGGCATGGGGGCATCCAGGCTATGGAGTACGCCTTCCACATGGAGATGACCATCAATCAGAGCCTGCTGAACCTGCACGAATTGGCCAAAGGAAAAGGCAACGCCTACCTCTGCAACTTCCTGGAGCAAAGCTGTCTGAATCAGCAGGTCCAAGTTCTGAAGGAGGTGAACCAATATCTGACCAACTTGCGCCAGATGGGGGCCCCAGAGAACGACTTGACTGAGTACCTCTTCGAAAAGCTCAGCCTGTCCTAAAGCTTCATGTGGACTGAACTGGGATGTCCCCACTGCCATGGGGTCTTCCTCTGGTCATTAGAACTGATGTCCACGTTGCTTTTGAAGCAAGTTCACTGATCTTCTGTTTCTGTTTGACTGCTATTTGAAATAAATTTGTTTGTTTTCAGCAAAATTAAAGTGTCAAGTTGATGTACAAACTCACATTTTCAGGGACTATGTGAAAGTGTTGCAGCTCTGAAGGGATAGGGTGCCCCAATAGAAGTGTTACAGCTCTGTTATGGTGGGGGGAAAGGTCTCCACAATGTAAGTTTTACAGCTCTGAAGGGAAATGTATCCTGGCCGTGAGGAGCCAAGGAATACCACAAAGTTACACTGAACAACAAACCTCACAAATGAGATTTACTGGCAGGGAGAAAAACCAGGAGGGTGTCTGCCTCTGGTCAGGTGAGGAGCAGCAAGGAACTGAAGAGAAGGCAGAGTTTTTATAGAGTGTCTTGGAGTGTGGGAGAGCGGTGGAGCTTTCTAGGTAGCCTGGAATTGGTGGGATTTTTTTTTTTTTGTGACCTGAACGTGGATCAAACTTAGTGTTTATGGGATTCTGTTGCTTGGCCCTTGTCTTGGTTTGGGGTCAAATCAGGGTCAGAGAGTTTTTTCCTTGGCCCTGGTATGAGGGTCAAGTCAGGATCAGGGTGTTTTCCCTTTGGTTCTGGTCTTGGGGTCAAGAGGGGGTCAGGGTGTTCTTTCTTTGGCCCTTTTACCCTACACTGTGAGTGTGCTTGCCTAGTATTCAGAAAACCCTTGAATGCATAGCAATAAACTAGGATAATGATATATACCTGAAATTATCACCATAGAGACGGAGGCAGGAATATCAAATATTGAATGTCACCCTCAGCTTTACAGCAGGGTCAAGGCCCTCTCAGCTACAAGACACTGTTTCATAAAAGAAAAAAAATCCTCTCACCTTGAAAAACATGAATATGGATATCATGTATTTTTAAAATTGATGTCCAGATGTCAGACGGTAGTGGTGCATGCCTTTACTCTCAATACTCAGGAGGCAGAGGTAGGCAGATCTCTGTGAGTTCAAGGCCTGTTTGGTCTACGGATCGAGATCCAGGACATCTAGAGCTGTTATACAGAGGAACTCTGACTCAAAAAGAAAAGAAAAAGAAAGGAAGAAATTGATGCCCAGAATTCTTAGGGTCAGAGAGAATCCCCTAAAGAAGACCAACAGCCATGTGTGCAATAAAAAGAGTAATTTATTATTTTCAACATTAGGGTGACTCTTGGTGACACCCAAGGAAGGCCACAAGCTTCTTTTAAGCAGAGTTAGGGGAATTCCAGAGAGGAAGGATTAATCTGGGGTTGATTGGTGTAGAAAAAATTAGTCTGGGAGCTGATTGGAGAAAGCTGACTGGTGGGAGGCCTAGTGGAGAGGTTGTGGGGAAAAGGGAACACTTCTGCATTGCTGGTGGGAATGCAAGCTGGTACAACTTCTTCGGATGTCAGTGTGATGATTTCTCCGAAAATTTGGAAACCACCTTTCCTCAAGACCCAGTAATACCACTTTTGGGTATATATCCAAAGGATGCTCAATCGTGCCACAAGGACATGTGCTCAGCTATGTACATAACAGCTTTGTTTGTCATAGCCAGGACCTGGAAACAACTTAAATGCCCCACAACCGAAGAATGGATAAGAAAAATGTGGTACATTTACACATTGGAGTACTACACAGCAGAAAAAAATAACAGCTTGAATTTTGCAGGAAAATGGATGGAGCTAGAAGACATTATTTTGAGTGAGGTAACCCAGACCCAGAAAGACAATTATCGCATATACTCACTCATAAGTGAATTATAAACATAAAGCAAAGACAGCCAGCCTACAAACCACAATCCCAGAGAATATGGACAACAAAGCAGATACTAACAGAGACTCACATAGATTTAATCTATATGGGATGTAGAAAGTAGAAAAAGACAAGATCTCCTGAGTAAATTGGGAACAGGGTGACCTTGTGGGAGGATTGAAGGGGAAAGGGGAGAGGCAGGGATGGGTAGCAGAGAAAAATGTAGAGCTCAATAAATATCAATAAAAATGTATAAATAAATTTTTAAATGCCACATTCCCTAGATCTCTGAGCAGTTGAGAGCTGTTTATTAGGTACAGCTGCTGTATAGAATATACCCAGAAAGCTGGCTCTGAGCTTGACTGTACTGTCTCTTAAAAGGTAAGATTTATACTCGTAAAAAGACAGAAAGAAGAAAATACTGCTTGCAATAGAAGGTTAATGGCAGAACTGACAACAGTAGAGAAATCTTAATATATTTGAAATGAGGGTTGGATTAAATATAAAGTATTTTTGTATGAGATTTAAAAGTACATTCCATTTTAAAACATGAGACTTGTTTTTGTAGTCTGAAGTGAGATACAATGAACAGACAATTATAACATTTAACAGTAAACATAGGTACATTTACATTTTATGTATGAACACACACACACACACACACACACACACAGAGTGAACAGGAATTGGCTTAAGTGGATGATTTGGTGGGCCCTACCAAAGGCATGTCACCGCACAAAACACACACGCAACAGAGTCAGCAAGAGGAATTTAGAGACAAAAATATAAGTAAACTGGGGAACCAGGCAGAGTATAAAGATGGCAGGATTTGGTTACCTGACCTGGCTCTCAGTTAAGATGGCAGTAAAGTCACCTGACCTCAGTCAAAATGGCAGCAGTCACATGTTGTATGAAAAAGCCACTCAGTTAAGATGGAGGTGAAGTTACTTGGCCTCAGTTGACATGATGGTAAAGTCACCTAACCTCAGTCAAAATGGCAGTGGTCACATGTTGTATGAAAAAGCCACAATTTTGAGATGCAGGGAATTTAAGATTAATAATAAGAGCGACCTAGAGGCGTGATCCGTCCTGTGGCTGAGCCGCCATGCCACAAGCTGTTGTGCCCAGATTACGACCCCCAGAGAGAGACCATCAGAGAGACCCAGACTGTAATAAGCAAGGTTTAATCAGCATAATACAAACATATTTGGAACTCATTTCCATCCCTGTTACAGAGAGGTAGAGAGAGGAGTTGTATCTCCTCTGTGGGGTAAGCTTTTAAAGGCATAGCTACAAAGAGAATCTTTGAAGCTGCTTTGGCACGGGTACAATGACTTTTGTTCCCTCCCATTCTGTTAATTCAGCTTTCTCCTTGTTCTTAGCGCAAGGCCACTGTTCTTGAGTTAGGCCATCTTTATCAGTCTGTACAAAGTGGCTGGCTGGGCTTAGCTAAGTAACCTTGTGCTCAGAATCTCCAAGGTGGGAGAGGGAACGACCACTATCGTCCTGGGAAAACATATTACTAGGAAATTTCTTCTCGCTCCTTTGAGAATAAGGGGTGAGGGTTCCACAAAGCTGCAGAGGGGAACCAAAGGCTGGAACTGAAAAGGCCGCCTCATGAATCTGACCAATCTTGTTGGCAGCAGTAGCAGTGTGTGCTGACAGTAGTTAGAAAGCTCCCATAAAAGGGGAGCTGGAAGACACAGGTGGAGTAAGGGCATGAGCTGAAGAAGGACATTAAGGCCTTCTGTGTCCCCAGCGGGGACAGACATGTGGTGCGGGAGAATTATCTGTATTCTGTCAATCATATTTTAATAAAACGCTGATTGGCCAGGCAGGCAGTATAGGCAGGAAAGCCAGACAGGAAGTAGGGGTGGAGCAAAGAGACTGGGAGTATTCTGGAAGCAGAAGCTCTCTCTCAGCCACTCCTGCGCAGACCACCGAAGAGGCAACATGTAAGCTGTCACACTGAGAAAGGTACTGAGACCATGTGGCTAACATAGATAAGGATAATGGGGTAATATATGTTATAAGAGTTAACAAGAAGCCTGACCTAATGGGCCAATCAGTTTATAACCTTATGGAGTCCTGTGTGTAATTTTTCTTTGTTGCTTGCCGGCTGTTGGGGTACTGGGAAGGACAGAAACCCCAACAAGCCAGCCCTCATACTACATATGGCGCCAATGTGTGGATAACAGAATCCACAAAAAGCCTGAGAAAGCTTGGGAAAGAATAGAGTAAAGCATGTTGTGTTGGTAGCAGCAATTTCTCGGGTCTACTTTGCTTGCTAGAGGCAAGCAAGGCTCTCATCTAAGAGAGGCTTCCTGACTCAGCTTTAGCTGCAAAACCTTGCAGCTCACTAAGAGGTCCTGCCACGAAAGACTTAAACGATGTTGATGAAAAGCTGAACTCATGCTTTTCGGGTTTTCAGCTGTAGCAGGAAAAAAGCTGCGCTGTTTTAAAATGCCGGCTATCTGGGCTGTCCTGCCAGAGCAAACTCTGACTCTTTCAGACAGGCAGTCCGACTGAGTGTGGTCTGTGAGCAGAATGCTGCAGCTTGCTTGCTGGCAAGGACCTTGAAACGCCATAGAGTTGTGTCAGTGAACACAGCTCTGGCTGGTACCTCAGCCTTGAGGCTGAAAAGCTAAGGAATGAGCTGGATCTAGCCGTCAAAGCCACGACTCTCCATATTGCTTAGTAAATTAATGGCTCATGTGGTCAGAAAAAGAAAAATATACAGTAAAGAGAGATTCAAAGAGGAAGAAAACCTCTAAATGGTTTATAGTGTGTATATACAGGCTAAAAGTTAAAGTTCTTAAAGTTAAAAGGAAAGAAAGAGAGTAGTTGGGTGTGGTGGTACACACCTTTAATCCCAATGCCTGGGAGGCAGAGGCATATTGACCTCTGTGACTTCAAGGGGTAGAGGTAGATTGACCTCTGTGACCTCAAGGTGTGGTAGTACACGCCTTTAATCCCAATGCCTGGGAGGCAGAGACAGATCTCTGTGAGTTCAAGGTGTGGTAGCATACACCTTTAATCCCAGCACTGGGGAGGCAGAGACAGGAGGATCTCTGAGTTCAAAGACAGCCTGGTCTACAGTGTTATTCCAGGACAAAGATATACAAAGATCCTGTCTCAAAAAGTAAAAGTAAAAATAAAAGAAATAGAGGTTAAAATAAAGCCACATAAAGATGGAAAATGCACAGAGAATCTTCATACTGTATGCTATTATGCTCTCTTTAAATTGTTTGATTGCTGAGGAAGGAGCAACAACT